CGCTCTAGCTGTCAGGAAGTTCTTCCTAATGGTTAGCCAAAAACTATTCTGATTTAATTTCAACCCATTAGTTCTGGTCCAACCTTCTGGGGCAACAGAAAACAACTCCGCACCATCCTCTATATGACAGCCCTTCAGGTACTTCACACACAAATATCATATCACATCTCAGTCGAGCTCCTCTCCAGGCTAAACATACCCAGCTCCTTCAACATTTCCTCATAGGACTTGGTCTCCAGACCCCTCACCATCTTTGTTGCTCTCCTCTGGACATGTTCCAGCTTGTCTATATCCTTCTTAAATTGTGGTGCCCAAAACTGAACACAATACTCTTGGTGAGGTCTAACCAGAGCAAAGTGGTACCATCACATCTCATGATCTGGACACTATACTTCTGTTTTTTAATAAGAATTTTTATTTTATATCAAAGAACAAACAAAAAAAGAAACAAACATAAATACATACAAGTTTGGGCTTTTTTGTATCTAGTTTGTTATCTCCTACATTGTCTATTTATATCGTAACCATTATTTATCACCATACATTTTTGTAGAAGTGTTCTGCATCGTATTTAAAAACGCGTTCTGTATTTTCTTCTGATATCATTGAATGTCGATATTGTTCATTTGCCGCACTCTTCCAGCCATTTATAAAACCTTTGGGCGTTCTTTGCTTACACTTTGCTTGGGTCAACTCGGTGAAAGGAGTCCGACAGTATTCCGCCAACACAGCACCTGATGGAAGCAGTTTTTCATCCGCTTTCTCCTCCTTGCACCCCCTGCGATGCCACTGCCGAAGGGGAGGGGGTCCTCCTGCTCAGGGGGAGGAGGGCTGCAGTGGGGGGGCCGGCTTAACCAATAGCGCCCCCTCCCTTCTTTTGATGAGCAGAGGAACATCCCGCAAACGGGTCATGCTCAGTGTTCCCTCTAAGCTGAGTGAGTGTGAGCCAGCTCACAGGTTTTTTAGCCTCCGGCTCACACCTTTTTGTCTCCGCTCAGGAAGGATGGCTCCAAAGCAGACTGATATAAGTACATGTGAATATTGTGTTTATTATTTCAACACGGTGTTTTCTGTGTTTATCTGATTTATGCAGCAGCCAAATCGCCCGCTCACAACTTTAATGCCAGTCGCTCACAAAAGCAGAATTTTTGGTCACAGGGCTCCATAGCTTACAGGGAGCGTTGGTCATGTTCACAGGAGGGAGGGGGGGAAGAGGAGCGGTCCCTGCTGAGCCCCCGCCCCTTTCGCGACAGCCCCCCCACCAACGCTCCCTCTAAACAGCGGAGTCTTGTGAACAAAAATCCTGCTTTGTGAGCTGCTGGCATTAAAATTGTGCGGCTGCATCAATCAGTCTGCTCTGGAGCCGTCCCTTCCTGAGCAGAGAGACCAAAAGGTGTGAGCCAGAGGCTAAAAAACATGTGAGCTAGCTCACACTAACTCAGCTTAGGGGGAACACTGCCCCCCCCACCCCCATTTTCCTGGAGGAGGAGACCTTTGGCAGCCACTTTTCAGCTCTTAAGTGCATCTGCGATGAGGATACCTTTCTTGTTCTGCCCGTTCCTCCTGCCGTGGCCGTTTCATGTTCAGCTCCTAGTGGCTTCACCCACGCGGTTGCACCCTGGGGCACCAAGCGCCGCAGGCAGGGCCGCCTAGAGATGTGAAGGCCCGGAAAAAACCCGGAAAAATTCAGGGGGAAAACGTTTTTTTCCCGTTTTTTTCCGAAAAATTGAAAAAAGAAAAGAAAAAAAATTGATTGTGGGACGTTTTATTTTAACATGAGGAATAAAATATTTTAAGACAAGGTGTTCAAATATTTTCCAAATCATTTCTAAAATATATATATATGGTATCAGATTGATCTAATTTCTGTGCACTGAGGACAAGCAAGACCTAGGTTACAAACTGAACTCTCCCATGCAAGAACAAGATGCATTTCTTCCTTTAGGAAGGTGCGATTGTCAGAAGAAAATAAAAAAGTTTCAGTTTTGTTTTTGCATGTGGGTGGGTATTCTGTTTGTAATAATTGTTTGGATACACTATATTTTTAATATGCTAGTTGTG